CAGCTTCAAGAAGCTACCAGGAAGGTGGGAGGAAGTAGGAGCGTAGGAGCGTCGTTGACAGAGCGCTTCGGTTAGAACACGGAACAGGACGGCGGATCCCCCACCTCCCCTCTTCCCCATTCAAATCAAAAACAACCTTCACCTCTGCGGATCTGCGAACACGAGGAGTCAAGGAAAAACCATCCTGGACGTGAAGTAAAGACATTCCTATTTGACAAATTTACAAACATGTTTGCAGACCTCCCTCCCAAACTTCGGATGATTTTAGAGCAGCCCCCCCCCCCCCCTCCCCGCACTCTGTGAACCTTTTTTTCGGATTATTCAACAGGTGGAAGGGATAAATTGAGTCAAGTCCCGGGCGCGGCGAGGTGGATGAGCTCGCGAGTAAGTTTGGGGAGGGCGAGAGCAAGGGCGGGGGAGAAGAGTATAAGTGGTCTCTGAAATGCGAAGAGTGGGAGGAAAATTCCTGTACTTGCTCGATGTCGACCACGAAGAGGACGGGACCTTGAGCTAGACGTCGATGGGCAAATCGCCCTCGCCCTAACCTTCCCTGCTTCCCCGACCTGTGCCTCGCTCTCCACGTCCTCCTTTTACTTGAGTCTGCAGAGAAGATAAAATGGAGGTGGCCTGAGCTCCCATATTTTCGCTGACTTGAGTCACCCAAATTCTATGTCCGCCCTGCACATTCTCTGACGGACGGGGAGTAGGAAGTGGGGGGGGGCTATGGGGGAGGTTGGGAATGGCGTGGGTAAAGGCAGGGGATGTGGAGGGGGGCATGGGCGAGAGTGGGCAGAGGAGTGGAATTGAGGGGGAGGGGGGGCGGTGGAGGTGCAGGGAGAGGGGAGTGGGGAGGGACAAGTAGAGGGGGCGAAGCTCTCCACGTCCTCTTTTTCCGCCATCCCATTTCCTTGAGTCTGCAGCGTGGATAAAAAGGAGGTCGCGGGAGTTCCCGTATTTTTGTTGATTTGAGTCACAGACGCTCAGAAATGGCATGTCCGCCGGAAAAGGGGGGAGTAGAAGTGGGAGATGAGCGAGAGCGAAGGCAGAGGAATGGCATTGGGGGAGGGTGGGCGAGGGGGAGGGACAAGCAGAGAGGGCGAAGCCGAGGGCGCAACCCAGCGCAAGGACTCCACCTTGACCGCTCTCGCCAGCCTCTCCTTCGCCATCGCCTCCCTACCCTTGCCCACATCCTCCCCCACCTCTCCCCCTCCAGCTCCATAGTCATTGGCCCTTCAAATCCCCTTACTTCGCTCCTGCCCTCGCCCTAACCGCCCTCCTGCACCTCTCCCAACTCCCGTCTTAACTGTATCACCCGCAAATCTGTTTGCTAGCAGCAGAAGACGACGCCATGCCTCCGGTTTTACCCAACCTCAAAACTCCTCATCAGGCTCGCTTTTTGCTTTAGTGATCGGCAAGTCACTGATACAGACCGTCAAGCACGTCGGCTTATATTTTCCTCGACCCTGATAGACACACAGTCAACTTCATTGCGCTATGTCCAGAGCAATAGATTGGGACGTCAAAACCCCTTGTTATCCACTATTTAAGCTGCAACGCAGCCGCCCGCGCAACATCGTATGCACAGACATATTCAACAACTACTGATGGGGCAACTGGTGAGGTGGGCGAGTGGGCTAAAGGGACGAAGGAAGAAGAGATACCATGTCCAAATTGAATAGTTCAGCTCACCATCGCCCCCCATTTGACGTGGGATATGTCTTCGACATTCTGGTGCCTGGACGATAGGAGCGCCGAATACCTCCCGAGAATCGCGCGCCAGCCCACCCACCCCCCCCCTCGAAAAGTCGAAAGAAGATGAGCCTGTGCCATTGTGCATGAGCAAGCGAACAACTTTAGGAGAAACACATGGGGCCTACTAATCAAAAATATAAACATTTCTATCTTTAAGTAACGCTGTATACATCAAATCTCGACGGTCAAGGGGGGCTGGCGGAGAGGCTCAACACCGCCTCAAGCAGCGAAGGGGCAGCCCTTGTTGGCCCTCTTGGTGATATGGGGGAGGGTGATGGTGCCAAGGTTGATAAGGTCGAGCTTGTGGGTGAAATTGGAATTGAAATCGTTCTTGAAGGTGGTCATGAAGCTTTACGCGTTGACGTAGGCGTTTTTGTCGATGCCTGCGAAATGGCGGGGGAGTGGTGGTGTTGTGAGGATGTTGAGTTCGGAAGGCGGGGCTGGCGGGGAGGGGAGGGTAGATGATTCAACTTACGTCTCGACAAAAGTCTTGTAAGGCTCGTTCTGAGCCAAGTAGCAGTCGAACGGGATCAAGCATTTCCCATTGAGCGTCTGCTTAAAGGTATCGTTATCGAAAACCGTCGAGGTATCGTCGAACGGCGCGAACTCCTCGGTGGTGAGCTGCCGGTTGTTGGCCGCGTGCACGCCGCCCATCGTATGGGACCCCGCCACGATCGCCACGATCTGCAACGCGTTGAAGCCCATGCGCTGCATGTTGGTGACCGAGAGCTAGTTCGGGTCGGTGGGGAGCGGGAGGAGGCCTGTCGGGCCAGGGCCGGGGTGGCTGAGCCCGCTGGTGAAGGGGATCTGGGGGCCGCCGCAGAAGGCGATGGTTGTGATGGCTGCGAGGTTCATCATGTCCGTCATGAGGAGCGAGGTGTTAGTGCCATCGGTGCCGAGGGGCCGAATTCCGGGTTGGCGGAAATGAATGCGTGGGGCATGTCAGTGAGAGCGAGGCCTTCGTTGCCGGGGCGATCGAACTCGTTGATGATGCTGCCGTCGAAGCCGAAGGAGTCGTTCGCTTGGAACCAGGTGGCTGGCAAATCGGGACCGCAAATCCAATCAGCGATCCATTATGCGACACAGGAGCACAAAATCCCCCCTCCTCCCCTCCCCGAGTGTTCCGTTTTGATCCATCTATCAAACTCACCGGAATCGTGGAAAGTGAACCTCAGCCAAAGGGCTGGTAGTACACGGCCAGTGGCGGGATTCTTCGCCTTTTCGCCTCCGCAGCCAGTGGTGTTAAGGAAGTTCTGAATGTTGATCACGAAATTTTTGGTAGTCGGTGTCCGGGCGGTTGGCGATTACAGACGGCGTCCCAGCAGACACGAGGGGGGCGGTGGCAGCGAGCGCAACGCCAGCGCATAGGATACGGGTGAACATGGTGAGAGGTGTGAAACCAAAGGATTTAGAAGACGAGGTGAAATATGGGTTGAGATGAGGGGAAGAGTCATGAGGGCGGCTCGATTTATAGAGCGAGACATGACGGTCAAGTCACGAGAAACCCAAGGAGGGCTTCAACTTTACGGACCAGTGTCGAAGATGCACATCGGGGCGTCGGGACTGAGAGGCGCCGAAGAAAAAAAAAGCGCGGAGCTTCTGGGAACTGGGACTGGGGTACGGGGACGTTGTGGTCGGCACGCCGCACTCGAAGTCAAGAGACGCGGTCTCACTAAAACTCAGGACCAGGAGGCATACGAGCGTCTCCAATGCCTATGGCCATGGATCTATACGCCGCTTCTAACCGCATCCAGTCGTCCAAGTGATGAAGGGAGCCTTCTCCAAGTGTGTCGGGGGGGTATCTTTCGGGGACCACTTTCATGATGACAGGTTTTGCCTGTTTTGCACTCCGTCCTGGATATTACTTGATCATCGCACCAACTGTTTTCCTTGAATTTCTTGAAAGCTTGATTCCAAGTGCATATCCAACCGCTTTAACTCTTAGTCCGCCGTTTTTGTGCCCAAACTGCGAAATGGCAAACAGTCTGCAACAGTTTGGTTTCCTTTGCTCAAATTTAGGGGCCGCAGCGGGGGGCGCCGAAGAAAATTAATCATGTGGACAGTGGCGCCGGGGTTTTTTTTTTTTTGGAGGATAAATGCTTCCCTTGTCATTCTTATTCCTGCACCTCAACCTGCTCCACCCGGACGATGGGACTCGTAGGACTGATTATCAGTTATCAGTTTTTTTAGTAAGGTTGGCAATGGGGTGGGATCTTTGACTCTTTGTTACTAGACTAGCTTCCTTTCCCCTATCTCTCCAACTCCGACTCCATTCCCCCATCTCCTCTTCCATTCCCATTGGCGTTCATGATACGTTGTTCGTTCATTTTCGAGGGCTCCGATAGGTTTAGAACTATGCGGGTGATAAGTGAACGCAAGGGGGATAAGAGGAGAGTTTCGGCAAAGTTGCGGTGGGGCAAAAAGCCTGGCGCGGTCTCTCACATTTTTTCTGTTTCTTTCGCCACGATATGGTTGCCTAGGCACCCTCCCCACCCGGCTGAGTCCGTTGTCCCGTCAAGATTTCTGTCGCCAATCTCCGTCCTCCATTCACCTGAGCGCCCTGAGGACGCGCAGTGTCTCAACCGATCTCCTCGCCCCTTCCTGCCCCGGGCGCCATCTCCTCTGCCCCCCTCCACGCATCCCCCACCCATGCGCCGCGTGTAGGTTGCGGCCTCTGCGAATTGGCTCCCTGCCGCGATCCCGCACACACTCCTTGCAAGGGCGCGACTCCCAGCTCAACCAACTCACCTGTTTTTATCTTTCCCTTTCTGAGACGAGCGTCGGGGTTTCACGGCGATCGACGGTTGACGAAGGACGAGACGAACCGGTCACGGAGGTCACGATGCGGGGGTTTGCGGCAAGCTTGGACGGACGATGAGGGCAGGCTAAGGTGGAAGCGAACGAGAAACTGTTCTGAGGGCGAGCGGACGCAGGGGGAGGGGGAGTGGGAGGGGGTGGGTGGAGGGCAGTCGACGCGATCGGACATGCCAATCGACCGACCCCTGACCCCAGCGAAAGTGGCACCGGAGTCAGTGAACTACTTCGTTGTATTCTTCGTCTTTTTCGTTTTTCGAGCAGGAACAGCACAAGGAATGACAGCAACTCCCCTTGGACCTCACTTTCCACTTGCGCAACAACGTTACCACTAGCTTCGGCCGTTAGGTCACAGTTTTAGGTGGGATAATAATGGCGGCAGATGCAAAAACGTTTCATACAGAAAAATATATTGACAGACAATTTCGAGGGAATTCCCCAACGGGGAATCGAACCCCGGCCAAGTGCGTGAGAGGCACCTATCCTAACCACTGGACTATTGAGGAGAACACCTCCGCCAGCTGTTGCATATATTTCACTTCTAATCTACAAGAATTTTTTCATGTTCGATTTATTGAGTCTCAACCTCCCTTGGTTTTGATGCGGTTCCGGGTCAGCAGGGAAGTACCCTAAAACATTTTTGGGGACAGACGAAATGCGATCAAGATATTGTTCGCGAGGTCCGTCTCCCTGCCATTATCAGGATACACGGGAGCAACCGCCCAGGCGGCGCTTCGGTGATGGAAGGACGATTTGGCATTAAGCAACATCCTCGCGTTTCCGCTGTATGTGCCCTTCCCTGCGAGGCCCCGTGTTCGAGCCCGGCCGGTCCATGTGTCATGAAGGATTACCGTTGGTCGGTTACGTTTTCTTCGCAAATGAGCCTTTCCTGACTGGCCGCTGAAAGCCTTCCCCCTTAGCCTTCCCCTGAGGGGACGAGTCTGGACGCCGAGGAATGCGGTCATGCGCCGTTGGCATCGTGGTTCAATAAGGCAACGGCGCGTTTCCCCAACCACAAACCCTTTTATCCCGATCGCCAATGGCACCATCGGGGGAGGTGCTGATGAGGGGCAATCTCTAAGTAGCAGTGGTGGCAGCGAGCTATATCCGTGAGCGCAAAAATGCGATGCCAAACCGACGCACAAAATCCCACAAGCGACGTGCTCCCTGACTGAGGAACGAACTGGGCCAGCCGTCGCATTTCAAATGTACAAGAGGTTTCGTGGGAGGTTAATAGAGGGATACCCGAAGAGGAAGGAGCGGGGTTGGAGAAGGACGTAGGGAGGGAGGGGGGAACTGCGCTATACACGGAGGTTGCACGATTCACCCGTTCTTTGAGTGCGGAGACAGCGTGGCATATACTGAGCTTGTGCGGACGAGATTCACGAAATATTGCTAGAATGGGGGGGAGGCGGGGGCGAAGATAGGCAGGGAAAGGGATCAGAGATTGTTTCTAGTACTAGTGGGAATCGGATCTCTCTCGGCGATAACCATAAGCCGTACTCACTTGAAGGATATCAACGGAGCCTGCTAATCGCCAATTGATCATCTGGCAGAACTTTTGAAACATATTTCAGTAACACTCTGTATCGCTCCGAGGGGACCCCTCACTATGCGTTGAACATCTCTTGTTACCTGCTCCGCCCCGTGCCCCACCACCGCTCGTTTAGGGTCCTATACTACTCACCTCGACCTCCATCACGTTCAACTCGACTACCGATATCCCCCCGACCTTTGCAAAATGAGTGTTCGTACAATAAATATCTGATAAAGCTTTGCTACCGGTGGTAATAGCACAAATAATGAATCTTAGAAGACGAGATCGAACGTGGGTAAGTTATGAATCGTTGAACAAGTGTGGCACCGTTATACGCGGGGAGTATAGACCCCCCCTCCTCCCCCCCTTCACTGCAGGGCCTCAGCCCCGAGATCGAGAAGTCCCATATATACCGATGCGCGGTTAGACTCGAAATCGTAAACGTGGGATGAATCTCGCATATTCGATCGATATAGATAAGTAGGAGCAGAAGGACGGATTTTTCAATTGCAGCGTAGCGGACGATGCGGCGGAGGTAATCTGCTATTGTGATGCTTTTCACATGGTAGGGAGAAGGGAAATTTGAGATTCGGAAAGACTTTCATCCCATTCCGAAATGCACTATCCATATTCCTCTCCCATGCCATCGCGAGACGACAAATCGCTCCCGTCTTCACTCCATCCGACTGTCGCGACGCGCAAGGGAACCGCCCCGAATACGTTCTACCCAACTCACTTTGGCGGCCCCCGGCTATGGAATCTCGTCAGGTTGGACGTTGTGAGCGGGATTTTGTCGTTGTGCGAGATGAGCTGAGGACGCAGACGCGACGCGATTGGTCCAGATGGGAGCAGGTCAGCGAAACGAACCAAAAGCACCACGGTACCTCCGCAAAACACGTTTACACACTCACCCGCTCTATCATCTCCACCACCATCGACATAAGAATATTGGTATCACACTGGTCTGTTGTTGCCGAGAGAAGAAAGGCATTAGCTTTTTGAAGAGTGCAAAGGGGCCGCGCAGCGACCATGTAAGCCTGGGCGAACTTGAAAGCACCCTGCCTCAAATGCTTACGGAAAGGAGCAGACGATTCTGTGGCGTCGGGAGTCTCCATTGTTGCAGTATCTACGACCCTTTTATCTTCCCCCCCCTCCCCCGCGGACGACTCTTGTGGCGGGCTTTTTGCCGTGCCGGTGGCGACAGGGGCGAGGCCGAAGGTGCGCGCGAGAGAGGCGGCGGAAGCGACGAAGCGGGCAAAGAGGGTAGGACAGGTGAAGGGGGTGGCGGGCTCTGAAGCTGCAGGCTCCGTTTCGGAGCAAGGACGCGAAGGGGGAGGGATCACGGAGTCGCCGTAATGATGGCGACGTGGTTGGCGTTTTTCTTGAACAGCCCGGAGCATAAGGACCTTCGAAGCGGAGCAGCTAGCAGCGCACAGCTGAAACGCTTTTGCCCTGTAAAAGTTGTCCATTCCCGGTACCCTGGTATGAATTGGAGTCGCGTGCATATCGCGTTTATAGATTGACGATCTGATCCTTCCTGCCACTCTCCCCTTCGGTGGACCATCGTCTTTCATACTGAAAAAATCTGGTCCGCCAACATGACAGGGCCTAGGGGCTCCTGGCATCGAGTTCCATTCTTCCATCAGTGCCAGCGGTGAGAAGCAAGGTATCAAGGTATTGGGAAGGAGGCAAACTTGTGCATAGGATAGCGAAGGAAAGGCTCATCGAGCGAGTTGGACAGTCACAGTCAGGGTGGACAAACGTCGATCGATTTGCAACGTTACATGCTCCTCGAGGGGAATTTGGCATCAAAGATCAAGTTGGATCTCCATGAGAATGGGATGGTTCATGAACAATCAAGGTCTTTGCATGAGACACATCCACGAGCTTCGCGGAACTGTGAAGGCTGTTTTCACAGCAATTCTCCCGCTCTCCCCTCTCTCGCACGTTCCATAGAATTTACTACCCGATCAATTGATCATCTCCTGCTCACGAGTCCCATTCTCCGAGTTTCATCCTGGTTTACCGTCCGAGGGTCACGGACCGCACACCATCTCCACACCGCTCATACGCATATAACCGCCGCCTCTCCCCGAACGTGACTCATCATCAATCGACTTCCATTTCACTATCATCTGCGTCTCAAACCATCCAATCAACACTCCAGCCAAAAAAGCAATGGCGATAGTTCCATTCACCGACGTCTTCCGGCGCCCCCTCTTCGGACTCCTCCCCTTCACCCCACTGTCCGGCACCACGAGCGACGTCAAGGGGGGGCAGCCCCGATCTGTGCGGAGCGCGCCCCGCCGTGGCCCGCAGATCGATGTCGTGGAGACGGAGAACGAGTATATTATCCGAGCGGACGTTCCTGGGATGGATGAGGTCTGTATCTGCGCATGGGATGTGTTTCGCGAGGGGGGAGAGAGGGAAGGGGGGGGGGGGGGGGGGGGGGGGGGGGGCCGGGGGGGGGGGGGGGGGGGGGGGG